TTCCCATCAACCTTGACCTACTAATGTCAAAGGTTGAAAGTTACGAAACGATTTTTTTAAAAATCTATCACCAGTGTTTTAAACCTTAGTTCATGTATTAAAAATAACCCCCCCCCCCACCACTCCAACCCTAAAAAAATATTTCCACACACCCCAACACTAAAAGTTTTTTCCCTAAAACGTTTGTCATGTTTTTCCTTACACAACATGCATCTTAGCACCGAACGTGAGTACGTCAACGTTATACGCGTCAGTTGGTGTGTGTGTGTGTTGGAGGGGGGGGGGGGGTAGGTAAGCGCCAGGTAATCGACTTAACACCTGTTGGTCTATCCACATCACAGTTCTCGTCTGCTGAAATTTTGGTCTATCCACATCGTAGTTCTCGTCTGCTAAAATTTTGGTCTATCCACATCGTAGTTCTCGTCTGCTAAAATTTTGGTCTATCCACATCGTAGTTCTCGTCTGCTAAAATTTTGGTCTATCCACATCGTAGTTCTCGTCTGCTGAAATTTTGGTCTATCCACATCGTAGTTCTCGTCTGCTAATATTTGGGTATATCGTAATTCTCGTCTGCTAAAATTTGGGTCCATCCACATCGCAGTTGTTGTCTGCTAAAATTTTGGTCTATCCACATCGTAGTTCTCGCCTGCTAAAATTTTGGTCCATCCACATCGTAGTTCTCGTCTGCTAAAATTTTGGTCTATCGCAGTTCTCGTCTGCTAATATTTTGGTCCATCGTAGTTCTTGTCTGTTTAATTCTTCAATATAATAGTGTCAAATAGAAAAGTAAAAGTCCCCCCCCCCAATCTTCCCCTGCTCCCCCTCTCCCCATTTCTCCCGAAAAAAAAACCGACCCCCACTTCCGTGAGTAAACAAATTGTGTTGAATGATAATGGGTGGCACAGGCATTACAAAAGTTTACAGAATAACAAAGCTGGTTGAGGGGGGGGGGGGGGAAAAGATGTGAAGTTAAGAGTTGGTAGGGGGGAGGTTGAGAGGTGGTACGGGGTGAGGTTAAGAGTGGGGAGGTGAGACTGAGAGGTGGTTTCTTTGATAAAAACTAAGTCGGTGAGAAAAACATGTCGACGTTGGTTTTATTTTTTTTGTCTGTTTGGACATTTTTTTATGCACGAGGAAACTATCGTTCGTTTCAAGTCGCTGGGTGATCGGTTCTTGACTCTGACTCATGACTTTTCTTGTCATGGTTGTGACGCATGACTTGTATTGTCATGTTGATGACGCATGATTTTTCTTGCTATAACCATGGCCTGCATGGGCACTGGACGGCAAACACCACAGACTGCAAGAGAAATGGACAGATGGTCATCTAAAATGGTTTTAAATTAGTTTTAATTTGGTTATTGATTACCGTTAAGTTTTAAACTAAATCAAGGCCATTGTTTAAACAGTTGTTGATATTTTACCTCTATCATATCTAATTAATCTTAAATAAAAATGTTTATTTTTTAAAATTGTATTTATTTAGTGAAATTAATCGATTGCATTTTTCTTTAGATTTAAGAAAAAAATCAAACGGATAAGAAAACAAAAGCTTTTTTTTTCTCTAATAATATCATATGAAGTGCGAGAAATTTATCTTTTTATTTTAGCAATTAGGGTATTGTGTGCATCGTTTGAAATTGTTCTCATTAAAATAAGTTTAAAATTACAAAACACGATTATACTAATAAAAAAAAAATACCTTCGTTAGTTCTACAAAAAAAAAAAATAATCTATCTCTACAAACAAACTAAATCGCGAGACTCCTGGCCAACATTTGTACGCATGCGCATCATGGGGCAGAATTTGTGCGCATGCGCAAATCGTTGTTCAAGTTCCGCCAATTGATAGCGTCTGCTGCTTGAAGTTTTGAACATTTTTTTTTTCAAAGCAACGACCTTGACGTGTAAAGACGGGCGTGGAATGTCAGACAATTACAGGCTAATTAGTCATGGATATATTATCATATGTACAGGTGATGAGAATTTCTGGAACTCGTCGCGTATTTTACCTGCATTTTCTTTTAAACTGTCTTTGAAATATTTAAGAGATGAAAACATAAAGAAATGGAAAAAATTAGAAAAGTTTCTTTTAAATTTATTGTTTTTTTATTATGTTTTTTAATTTTAAAAAAAAGAGACTACTTATCATTTCTCTAATGCTATTTTTTAAAAAATATCTTTATTTAAACATAGGTTACTGAAGACTGCTTACACCTAGAATTACAAGAGAAAAAATATTTAAGACGTTTACTGAAATTATACCCACTTGTATGCGCACTGTAATTTATCTATAAAATGTTTTAATAAAGTTTGAGTGGCGGATATTTATATTTTAAATAAATATTTATAAGCACAAAATATGATAACAATGTAATATTTGTATCAGGGTAAAATACGTTTATAATTGCATCTACGAAAGTCTTACTTAACTACATGTACGGCTAGATGATATGAAGTGCTACTCAAGACACTATGCGGAGCGTTCTTAGCTCGGCTCTTCTGCCTCCATAGTCACTAGACAAGATTTTTTAGTGACAACAATTTCCCTGACGTCCGCCTGTATGTCCACTTGACAAGATGTTGACCAGGCTAGTTTGAATGACAACTGTTGCTTGTCATGACGCCGGTCTGTATGTACACTAGACAAGAAGTTGACCAGTCCAGTTTGAATGACAACTGTTGCTTGTCATGACGCCGACCTGTCCTAACCCGCCCCCAGACCAATTCTACGTTTACCTTACACGTGCATCTAGCACCTGGCAATGATAAGACGTGCCACATTGGCGTGCATGTTTGTCTGATTATTATGACCTACCTGGTGTGCATGCGCTGTATTAGCACTGGTCTGGTGCCGGCATGGAGGTGCTGTTTTATTTGGAGCGAATTGAGGCGAAAATTTGTTTCACCTTTTTGCTATTGACGGGTGTGTGTGTGTGTGTGTGTGTAGGTGTGGGGTGAAGCATGACTCGTGCCGGCGATGGTGTTGTTGGTTAGGATTAGACAGTTTATGGTTATGGTTGAGTTCGTCAGGACTTTTTGTGTATAGTCTTTTCGATCATGTATCATTGGTCAACATTTCGGTGGTCATGTTCTGTTGGTCAAGTTATAGGCCAATTGGTCAATCATAGATTGCCAAGTCCTGTGGATCATTTGCTCATGTCTTGATCATCCAACTTGTATTGGGTCAACTTGTCAAGACTTGTAGGTCATTAGGTCAACACTTGTAGGTCTAAATCTGTGAACTCCAGCTGGTCGAACCCTGAGCTGTGAACTATTGACAAGTCATGGTTGTACCACACCCCGCATAGACCCAGTACAGCTGGGTATTTATAGTTTTGATGTCTATTTTGGTCTCCCAAGTGAAAACAACCCCCCCCCTCCCACCCTGTCCTCAATGGTTAACTCAGCTAACCGTTCGCCGCACATCAAATAATGACGTCATTAGATCGCACCACGTCAGCTTTAAACAATAAGAGGAAGGGTGGGGACTGGGTTGTGGGAAGAGAAGGGGGGGGGGGGAGATTTACCTGCAACCAAAACTCACCTTCCTAATGGTTATATATATATATTTCTTTTTTATTCTTAAATAACACGAACCTTAACTCCGTCAAGATTCGGGACCAGACAGTGCAGTCTGGCAACCCACAGATACACACACACAAAACAGGTTTGAAATCTGGCCAATCTGATTGATCAAGACGTACATTGACACCTGATGTCGTGCCGCATGTTCTGCCCGACACGACGTGCTTCGCATGTTCCGCCCGACACGACGTGCTTATAATAAATAACACGTTAACACAACCCAAGACCCAATTAAACGTTTTTTTTTAAACCCCGAGCTCAACACGAAGCACACAGACGTAAACATGACGGAAATCAAAATATGCAAACAAACAAAAAAAAATGGCGGGATGGATCTAAGCAGGTGTGGAAGGTGAATCTCCAACATTTCAATGTCGGACTCTTGACTTTGTGGTTGTAAAAGATCTCGTTGATGATGATGTTGTGACCTCCGGTGAACGTATTTTAAATTTAACATTTTATGTAGTTGTAAAATACACATTTAAAACTTAAAACTACTGGTATGAGAGATGTGTGAGAATATGAAGCGTATGGATACAATTAAGATAAATCATTGAGTTGTACGAAACTTGATAAAATGACAGCTTTGTGTTTGGCGGTACTTCAAAATATTAACCCAGTGAGCTTATGAAAGTGGTTGTAAGCAACAAAATTATGGAATTAACTTTTTTTTCTAACGTAAACAATGGCCTTGGCTGGGTTTATAAATATTGCATTCTGCAAGACGGGAGACAGGTGTTGGTGGGATTACAGACAGGTGTTGGTGGGATTACAGACAGGTGGGTTTAACGGGTGGGGGGAGACGAATACCCGCCACAGGCGTCAGAAATATTTCTGGCGAGTATTTAGATGTAAGTGTGTAGGTGAAGCTTACCTGTAGAGGTGGGTGAAGCTTACCTGTAGAGGTGGGGGAAGCTTACCTGTAGAGGTAAAGCTTACCTGTAGAGGTAAAGGTTACCTGTAGAGGTAAAGGTTACCTGTAGAGGTAAAGGTTACCTGTAGAGGTAAAGGTTACCTGCAGAGGTAAAGGTTACCTGTAGAGGTAAAGCTTACCTGTAGAGGTAAAGCTTACCTGTAGAGGTAAAGCTTACCTGTAGATGTGGGGGAAGCTTGCGACATTTTATGTTTGCCAGTAGAAAAACTTGTGACATTTGATATTTTTACATTCCCTAGTTCCAAAACTTGTGACATTTGATATTTTTACATTCCCCAGTTCCAAAACTTGTGACATTTGATATTTTTACATTCCCTAGTTCCAAAACTTATGACATTTGATATTTTTACATTCCCCAGTTCCAAAACTTGTGACATTTGATATTTTTACATTCCCTAGTTCCAAAACTTGTGACATTTGATATTTTTACATTCCCCAGTTCCAAAACTTATGACATTTGATATTTTTACATTCCCCAGTTCCTGCCGTTAGAAAAACAAGCAGACGACAGTGCATGCCGAGACACAAAAACTTACAGAAGCTACAACATGGACTGCAGTCTGGTGAGTACAATATGTCACGTGGTTACCGTACTTCTATGGGGGGGGGGGGGCTACAACATGGACTGCAGCCTGGTGAGTAAAATATGTCACGTGGTTACCGTTATTCTATGTGTGTGTGGGGGGGGGGGGGGGGCTACAACATGGACTGCAGCATGGTGAGTACAATATGTCACGTGGTTACCGTTCTTCTATGTGTGTGTGGGGGGGGCGCTACAACATGGACTGCAGCCTGGTGAGTACAATATGTCACGTGGTTACCGTTATTCTATGTGTGTGGGGGGGGGGGGGCTACAACATGGACTGCAGCCTGGTGAGTACAATATGTCACGTGGTTACCGCTCTTCTATGTGTGTGTGTGGGGGGGGGGGGCTACAACATGGACTGCAGACTGGTGAGTACAATATGTCACGTGATTACCGTTCTTCTATGTGTGTGGGGGGGGGGGGGGCTACAACATGGACTGCAGCTTGGTGAGTACAATATGTCACGTGGTTACCGTTCTTCTATGTGTGTGTGGGGGGGGGGCTACAACATGGACTGCAGCCTGGTGAGTACAATATGTCACGTGGTTACCGTTCTTCTATGTGTGTGGGGGGGGGGGGGGCTACAACATGGACTGCAGCCTGGTGAGTACAATATGTCACGTGGTTACCGTTCTTCTATGTGTGTGGGGGGGGGGCTACAACATGGACTGCAGCCTGGTGAGTACAATATGTCACGTGGTTACCGTTATTCTATGTGTGTGGGGGGGGGGGGGCTACAACATGGACTGCAACCTGGTGAGTACAATATGTCACGTGGTTACTGTTCTTCTATGTGTGTGGGGGGGGGGGGGGGGCTACAACATGGACTGCAGCCTGGTGAGTAAAATATGTCACGTGGTTACCGTTCTTCTATGTGTGTGTGTGGGGGGGGGGGCTACAACATGGACTGCAGCCTGGTGAGTAAAATATGTCACGTGGTTACCGTTCTTCTATGTGTGTGTGTGGGGGGGGGGGCTACAACATGGACTGCAGCCTGGTGAGTAAAATATGTCACGTGGTTACCGTTCTTCTATGTGTGTGTGTGGGGGGGGGGGGCTACAACATGGACTGCAGCCTGGTGAGTACAATATGTCACGTGGTTACCGTTCTTCTATGGGGTAGGGGGGCGTAGGTTACATAAAGATGTATGAATGTTAAGTTCCCTATTACAAGTGAGCTGAGGGGTGGGTGGGTGGGGAGGGGGGGGAGGGCGATGACGTCACTATCAGCTGTAAATTAACATAAGGTTTAAAGTTAAGCTTAATCACGAGTACGCTAAATAGAGATTGTGACTCGCTGATTGTAACACTTCCGGTCATGTCTGACAATGGAAAACATTGTGTGTCTGGGGGACATAACCACACATTGTGTGTCTGGGGGACATAACCACACAACCATGGGGAAACTTTTTTTTTCATGTGTTAATGAGATAGTCGTGTTGGGGGTGGGGGAGTTGAAAAGGGGGGGGGCACATTTAGTGCTAGACGGATCAGTGAGAAGGTGGGGGGGGGGGGGAGGGGGGCACTAGAGTATTAACATGTAATGCAGGCTAATCAGAGTGGGATAGGGGAAGTTTTTAGTTGTTTAGGAGAGTTCGGGGCGTGGCAGATGGGTGTTTGTGGACCGTGGAGAGTTTGGGGCGTGGCTGAGGAGTAAGGGGCGTGACTTATGGCAGTACGGGGCGTGTCAGAGGAGTCTTTGGGGACCGTGGAGAGTTGGGGCGTCAAATGTAGGAGGAGTAAGGGGTATGGGTTTTCATGAAAATTTCGCTCATATATCAAACACTGGTGTGTTCATTAGACCGTGTCTTACTAACTCAGCTGACAGTGCTTACAAAGGTTTTAAACAAATATGCTATAAATAGAAGTAACCCTTCAGTTGTAAGGTAATGAACTACCCCATCATTACATCATATTACTGCGAGTTCATGTTTTTTTTTAAAACTTTTTTTTTTACAACCGGCTGTTTATAAATAATTGATGACGTCACTAGAAAAATCCCTGAAACGCTCCACTAAAATCACGGCCACAATTAATTTTCTTTCTCCACCTGATTGGTGCCGAATGTGGCGGGATGTAGAGAGGGGGGGGGGACGACTGCAAATCTAACCTATGGAGGAGGGTGGGAGGTGGGGGCTGCATATCTAAACGATGAGGGGGGTGGGGTTGGGGTCTGCACATCAAAACGATGATGCACATCAAACGGCCCGGGTCGAGGAGCCGCGGTGAATGAAAACAAGGTGAGCTAACCTGGCGTCATCAGGTATTGAATGGTTTCCCTAATGGGGAGGTGGCGTGTGGGCAGGGTGTTCACGTCACGGGGTCAATTATCGACTCGACAAATCTATTGCCCTCACAAACTCAATCAATGATCAGATCTATTGCCCTCACAAACTCAATCAATGATCAGACAAATCTATTGCCCTCACAAACTCAATGATCATTGATTGAGTTTGTGGGGGCAATAGATCTGATCAGACAAATCTATTGCCCTCACAAACTCAATCAATGATCAGACAAATCTATTGCCCTCATAAACTCAATCAATGATCAGACAAATCTATTGCCCTCATAAACTCAATCAATGATCAGACAAGCACTGATGAACATGTGGATTGGATGAACATGTGGATTGGATGAACATGTGGATTGGATGAACATGTGGATTGGATGAACATGTGGATTAGAAACAGGTGGACTCTACTTCACCTGCCCCGTGGGCCGTCATGTTCGAAAGGGCACTTTCCTTACCCCTGAAGTATTGTCGCAGGACCTAAGAACTGACTGCATTAACACAACAAACTTAGTTGGTATCACGTGACTTCTACAGTCTTCGGGTCACGTGGTGTCTCTAATGTGACCAGATCGTTAATCGGATGGTCTGGAGAGCAGATAACTGAGTATAGATTGTCATCGTTATCCTTGATTAGACGGAAGAGCATCGTTAACTATAAGCCAGACGGGGGTGGGGGGTGGGGGGGGGGGGGCGACTTTTTTAAAAGCATGAAGTTAATTGGACCGTGACGAGACTCCAGAAGATTGGAACCGAGGGCGGTCCCCACCACGGCATGGTCGAGTTTAATTAAGTCGGGCTGGGAGGAGAAATATTAGTCGGTGTCAATAATTGATGAGGCCCACAGATAGCTAGGGTAGGAGGGATGTGTATAGGCGAGGTAACCTTAGTCAATGCATTATTTAGAATTTAAGTAAACTAAGGCAAGATAGAGTTGTGCTTTAGGCAATGTAACGGTAGGCAAAGCGGTATTTAAAATGTAGGTGAAGTTGTGTTATATATGAAGTTCATTAAGCGAAGGAAGAGTCATGGTTTAGGAAATGTAATTGTAGGTAATTCAGGGTCGAGAATTCAGGCAAACTACGGTTAAAGGCTGAATCGTGATTTAGGCAATCTAACCGTCGGCAAGGCGGTGGAGAATGTAGGTGAAATTCTGTTTTCAAAAACACAAAATATTTAGTAATCAGCACCGCAAACTTTTCACGATACACGTTTATAACAAAACATTATCACTCGTCGGAATCCACGTTCTTGTGTTCATCGATTCTTATCTCCCCCCACCCCCCTCTCACACACGCCCCCACCCCCACCCAGCCGACATGTCTGCGTGGGACAAGAAAATAAACATCTTCAGCTGGCGATTTAAAAAAAAAACCAACACAATCAATCACAGTATTGTGTAATGATACAGTCAATTATGTTCTACACAATAACACAAAAATGATGCCCACAGCCAGAGCGCGGGCACAAATCGACAAGTCAATTAACGATTTCGCAATAGAAACCAATTGTTCGCGAATCAATTTCACTTTTAGTTAACCCCGTAATGACGACAGACAGGTTTCGTTTTTTGTTGTTGTTTTTTATTTATTTTTGGTTTCACGTTCCAACAAGCGCGTCACGATTCAAACCCAGCAAATGGGGCTGGGGTTTTGTTAAGTTTAATTACAAGTCATTTAATTTTAGAAGGTTGTTTACGGCTCTTATTGCGTCAGTGCCAGATTTTTATTTTATAAATCTCGGAATAAAAAAATGGATCAAAAAAGATACGGCGCTCTGGGGTTTAAAAGGAAGGAGAAAAATAAAAAAAACAAGCGATAGTTTTTGTTCTGTTGAAAAATATAAAATTCCCCAACTTTTTTATTCGCCTGTCCAGGTCTTCAATAACTATTAATAGAAATCACGAATCAATTAAAAAGTTGAATGACAAATGACAGGGCTCAATATTTATTCAATTGATTTTTCCTGTATGGAAGACTACCCCGGGATAAAAATAGGGGGAATATTTAATGCACGCGTACAAAAGGGTTAACAATCTCCTTGACCCAAAGCGTGATCTTTATGTATGGGGCGTTTTAATTGGTCAATATGGGCACGTGAGGATGGTATGGGGACTGGGGGGGGGGGGGGGTTAAAACATTACTGGAATATTGTTTAGAAAATGTATATCGACAAAGTATTATGAAGTAAGAGACTTGTGGTGTGGTGTATACCATAAAGACGATGAAAGTGTGTGACATCACATAACACATCTGTGACTACTATGTCATCTATACATACTTTAGTACAGAGTACACCGTAGTGTATCATCGTTTTGATAGCAATCATTGATTGTGGGAAAAATATTTTTTTTAAAAAACCACTAACAAATTGCAGAATATAGTTTAAAAATCAACTAACAACTGTAACTACCTAGACAAATGTAACTAAATCCACTTTCAAATTATGGAAGAAACCGACTCAAACTTTTGAGTTAAGGTGAAACAGTGTAAACATTATAACGCAAAAAGTTTTTTTTTTCTGTTTAAATATGTGTTTTTCAGTGTTTGACCTGTGTGTCACGATGACAATATGACATCTGTGTGAATGACATGTGTGTCGCAATGCCATAACATATGTGTGTATGACATGTGTTTCACAATGACAACATGACATCTGTATGTATAACATGTCTGTCGCACTGACAACATGACATCTCTGTGCGAATGACATGTGTGACACCATGTCATCTCTACTTGCAGTGCTGGGACGCGTGCTTTAACCTGATGTCCAGCGCCAGCCTAGTCAACTCGACATGCGACAACAGCCAGCACAAGGTAAGTCTTAGTTCCATCCTACAGCTTTATGGGTGTCATTTAGGTGTCATTTAATTGTCATTTAGGTATCATTTATTTGCCATCTATTTGTCATTTAGGTGCCATGTTGTTGCCATCGTTTTGTCATTTCTTTGTCGTTTATTAGCCATTTAGTTTCCATTTTTGTGTCATTTAAGTTTTATTTCATGTTAAACTCAAGCAACAACACAAAGTTACAACCAAATGTCTACGTTAGAAAGTACGGTAAAGCTACGGCCGAAGTTGGACAGTTGTACAACAGAAATCGATCATTCTACACTTACACGCTTCTAATTCAATGTACAACAGAGCTGAATTCTACATTCACACATTTCTACTTCAATTTACAACAGAACTGAGTTAAACATTCACACATTTCTAATTCAATGTACAACAGAGCTGAGTTATACATTCACACATTTCTAATTCAATTTACAACAAAGCTGAGTTAAACATTCACACATTTCTAATTCAATGTACATCAGAGCTGAATTATACATTCACACATTTCTAATTCAATTTATAACAGAGCTGAATTATACATTCACACATTTCTAATTCAATGTACAACACAACTGAGTTATACATTCACACATTTCTAATTCAATGTTTTCACTTGTAGGGTGTCAAAGTTGCCTGTGATTTCGTACAGAGAAAACCAAAAGGTAATTATCTGTTTTATTCAACAACAAAAAAAAAAACTTTTAAAAAATCAGAATTCTTTTAATTAAAAAATTGATGTTGAGTACAACTAATGAAGGCTAAAATACTAACTCACTGTTCAATTATTGTTTTATGATAAAGTCTTTATCAACGAAATGTCAATTATCTTCATGAATCAATGAACTGTTGGGTGACTGAATGTGCTATTCCCTGTGTCCGTGTAGCACTATATTATTGTCATTTTAACCAGTACTCGAATATGCCCTCATCAAAGCCATGTCTACCCGTACTGGAAAATCCTTCATTCAAATCGATTTCGATCAGTACTCGAATCCGCCCTCATCAAAGCCATGTCAACCAGTACTCGAATCCGCCCTCATCAAAGTGTACATTTGTCACTCAACGTCTCTATTACTTCCGACAAATGCGACGACTACAATGCCTAATAAAATGTCAGCCCGATACTGATTCCATCGGAGCCTTCGATTTCTCTGGTCAGAAATGCCTGCTGGTTAAAAAAAAAAGTTGCAATGACCGTATTGTGACTATTATAGGATGTGTTAATGGGTGGATCGATTATTTTCCAGTGTAAAAATAGATTTTGTGCCAGTGGGGTTAGCGCTGTGGTGCATCAGTCGGACGCCATCTTGTGTAGTCACGTGATTACACCGGACATCAGTCGGACGCCATCTTGTGTAGTCACGTGATTACACCGCACATCAGTCGGACGCCATCTTGTGTAGTCACGTGATTACACCGCACATCAGTCGGACGCCATCTTGTGTAGTCACGTGAGACGAGATGATTCACGTACACTAGCCGCCTACAAACACAGGAATCGTGAAACCTCACTTAATCTCACATACATTAAGACCAGCCCGAGTTTGAAATGCATTTAGAAACAAATGTAAAAAAGAAAAATTATATAAATATTGTTTGATGTTGAAATTAGCCATACCCCCCCCCCCCACATATCCCCCTCCCCCACCACCCTCTGTAACATGTAACATTGTTACACAACTGATGTTCTCTCTCTCCTATAGGCCCCAGCCTCCACGGGACTTGGAAGTTCCCTGAGAACGTCTCCGTCGTCTTGACCCAGGCTATGTTGACCATGTCATGGAAACCGCCCGTCCTGGTGTCCGGTCCGAACGAGACTGGGTCATCCGATGACGTAACCAGGCCCCGCCCACTTGTTTACGTTCTGCTGAGCCGGAACAAGAACGAGAAGGATGTCCAGTACGCCACGTTTGAGCAGGTTGGTCTCGTGTGTGGGGGTGTGGTCTATGGTGTGGTCTGTGGGGGGGGGGGATGTGGGGGATGTGGTCTATGGTGTGGTCTGTGGGGGGGGTGGGTCTGTGTGGTGGGTGTTGTCTGTGTGGATGTGGGGGATGTGGTCTATGTGTGGGTTGTGATCGGTGTTAGGTGGGTCGCTGTTGGAGTGCCTGTGGGGATCTTTTTTGGGGGGTTTCTGTGTGTTGGGGGGGGGGGGTGTCTCTACGTGTGTTTGTGTGTGTCTCTACGTGTGTTTGTGTGTGTCTCTACGTGTGTTTGTGTGTGTCTATAAGTATATGTGTGGGGTGGGTGTGTTGTAAGTGGGTGTGGTGTGAGTGTATGGAGGTTTATGTTAGAGAGTGTCTGTGTGGGGGATCCTGTGGGTGTGATCTCTGTGGTAGGTGTCTGTGTACAGTACAGTTGTCCATCGGGGTGTCTGTTCTGGGGTGTGTGTGGGGGGGGGGGGGAGTCTGTGTGGGGTTGGTCTCTTACATATTCTACTAGATTTCGGTTTAAAAATGTGTCTATCTAGAAAACCCCATCAATTGGACAATGATTTAATCTTCTCACGCAACTTTTTAACCCAGCATGTCAGGGATCACAGGTAGGGCAGAAGTCGAGAAAGTTATCGGCCTATTCACTTATCTGCCCTTATCTGCCCTTATCTGCTCAACATGAGAAATCAATCAGGCTCGAGTATTGTCTCCCATTGATAACAGCCTCTCGCAGAAAGGTCTCTGGCATTCACTGAAAGGTGTCTAAAGGGGAATAATTAAGACACGGATCGTGACGTTGCTGATACTGATGGTGGGGGAGGGGGGGGGGCATTTCTCTTGTGTCGAGATCAGGGGAGCTAATGCCCGACGTTCGTGTCAAGATCAGGGGGGTTAATACCCGAGGTTTGTGTCAACAGGCGGAGAAATATGTCCGACTTTTGACATTTATCCTCGCTGCACGTTATCATGATTAATTTCTTGATGATGTATTGGGCCACCATGTTTGGTCAGTCTAAGTTTGTGGGATCTGTCAGCACAAATTAGACGTTTTCTTCAACTGTCCCAGTTGTGCTTGTTTCTCCTGTGGTAATCCATCTTTCTTGTGCTAGTTTCTCCAACTGTCCCCAGTGGTAACCCATCTTTCCTGTGCTTGTTTCTCCAACTGTCCCCAGTGGTAACCCATCTTTCTTATGCTAGTTTCTCCAACTGTCCCCAGTGGTAACCCATCTTTCTTATGCTAGTTTCTCCAACTGTCCCCAGTGGTAACCCATCTTTCTTGTGCTAGTTTCTCCAACTGTCCCCAGTGGTAACCCATCTTTCTTGTGCTAGTTTCTCCAACTGTCCCCAGTGGTAACCCATCTTTCTTGTGCTAGTTTCTCCATCTGTCCCCAGTGGTAACCCATCTTTCCTGTTCTTGTTTCTCCAACTGTCCCCAGTGGTAACCCATCTTTCCTGTGCTAGTTTCTCCAACTGTCCCCAGTGGTAACCCATCTTTCTTGTGCTAGTTTATCCAACTGTCCCCAGTGGTAACCCATCTTTCTTGTGCTAGTTTATCCAACTGTCCCCAGTGGTAACCCATCTTTCTTATGCTAGTTTATCCAACTGTCCCCAGTGTTAACCCATCTTTCTTGTGCTAGTTTCTCCAACTGTCTCCAGTGGTAACCCATCTTTCCTGTGCTAGTTTCTCCAACTGTCCCCAGTGGTAACCCATCTTTCTTGTGCTAGTTTATCCAACTGTCCCCAGTGGTAACCCATCGTTCTTGTGCTAGTTTCTCCAACTGTCTCCAGTGGTAACCCATCTTTCTTGTGCTAATTTCTCCAACTGTCCCCAGTGGTAACCCATCTTTCTTGTGCTAGTTTCTCCAACTGTCCCCAGTGGTAACCCATCTTTCTTGTGCTAGTTTCTCCAACTGTCCCCAGTGGTAACCCATCTTTCTTGTGCTAGTTTCTCCAACTGTCTCCAGTGGTAACCCATCTTTCCTGTGCTAGTTTCTCCAACTGTCCCCAGTGGTAACCCATCTTTCTTATGCTAGTTTCTCCAACTGTCCCCAGTGGTAACCCATCTTTCTTGTGCTAGTTTCTCCAACTGTCCCCAGTGGTAACCCATCTTTCCTGTGCTAGTTTCTCCAACTGTCCCCAGTGGTAACCCATCTTTCTTGTGCTAGTTTCTCCAACTGTCCCCAGTGGTAACCCATCTTTCCTGTGCTAGTTTCTCCAACTGTCCCCAGTGGTAACCCATCTTTCTTGTGCTAGTTTCTCCAACTGTCCCCAGTGGTAACCCATCTTTCTTGTGCTAGTTTCTCCAACTGTCCCCAGTGGTAACCCATCTTTCTTGTGCTAGTTTCTCCAACTGTCTCCAGTGGTAACCCATCTTTCCTGTGCTAGTTTCTCCAACTGTCCCCAGTGGTAACCCATCTTTCTTATGCTAGTTTCTCCAACTGTCCCCAGTGGTAACCCATCTTTCTTGTGCTAGTTTCTCCAACTGTCCCCAGTGGTAACCCATCGTTCTTGTGCTAGTTTCTCCAACTGTCTCCAGTGGTAACCCATCTTTCTTGTGCTAATTTCTCCAACTGTCCCCAGTGGTAACCCATCTTTCTTGTGCTAGTTTCTCCAACTGTCCCCAGTGGTAACCCATCTTTCTTGTGCTAGTTTCTCCAACTGTCCCCAGTGGTAACCCATCTTTCTTGTGCTAGTTTCTCCAACTGTCTCCAGTGGTAACCCATCTTTCCTGTGCTAGTTTCTCCAACTGTCCCCAGTGGTAACCCATCTTTCTTATGCTAGTTTCTCCAACTGTCCCCAGTGGTAACCCATCTTTCTTGTGCTAGTTTCTCCAACTGTCCCCAGTGGTAACCCATCTTTCCTGTGCTAGTTTCTCCAACTGTCCCCAGTGGTAACCCATCTTTCTTGTGCTAGTTTCTCCAACTGTCCCCAGTGGTAACCCATCTTTCCTGTGCTAGTTTCTCCAACTGTCCCCAGTGGTAACCCATCTTTCTTGTGCTAGTTTCTCCAACTGTCCCCAGTGGTAACCCATCTTTCTTGTGCTAGTTTCTCCAACTGTCCCCAGTGGTAACCCATCTTTCTTGTGCTAGTTTCTCCAACTGTCTCCAGTGGTAACCCATCTTTCCTGTGCTAGTTTCTCCAACTGTCCCCAGTGGTAACCCATCTTTCTTATGCTAGTTTCTCCAACTGTCCCCAGTGGTAACCCATCTTTCTTGTGCTAGTTTCTCCAACTGTCCTCAGTGGTAACCCATCTTTCCTGTGCTAGTTTCTCCAACTGTCCCCAGTGGTAACCCATCTTTCCTGTGCTAGTTTCTCCAACTGTCCCCAGTGGTAACCCATCTTTCTTGTGCTAGTTTCTCCAACTGTCCCCAGTGGTAACCCATCTTTCTTGTGCTAGTTTCTCCAACTGTCTCCAGTGGTAACCCATCTTTCTTGTGCTAGTTTCTCCAACTGTCCCCAGTGGTAACCCATCTTTCTTGTGCTAGTTTCTCCAACTGTCCCCAGTGGTAACCCATCTTTCCTGTGCTTGTTTTTCCAACTGTCCCCAGTGGTAACCCATCTTTCTTGTGCTAGTTTCTCTAACTGTCCCCAATGGTAACCCATCTTTCTTGTGCTAGTTTCTCTAACTGTCCCCAATGGTAACCCATCTTTCTTGTGCTAGTTTCTCCAACTGTCTCCAGTGGTAACCTATGTTCCCTCTAAGGACCAAGAGTGTGTGTGCAAAAAATATGTTGTGTGCGCGGTGCTAAAAATGACTTGGGCAAGTTAATATGTATGTTTAGGCTTGCAATTAAGCAGAGTAATGAAGGCATGCATTTTGATAAATTAATAGAATAATGTGTAGGACTAGTGAAACTATTGCAATTAAAAGAAGATACGAATCCCATCAAAATAAAATAAAATACGCAATAGAAACTTTCAGAGTTATACTTAGACAACAGGTTATGTGGTCGACTTACTATGTTAGTGTAATGCAATCATGTTAATGTTAATACCATAACGGTAATACAAATACGACAGTTTTACATGTTAACCATATTAAAAAGCTGACTTGAAAACAAAATTAGCTAACCTTTCAGGGGCATTCATTGCAATTTCTCGCGTCTAACCTTGCCTTGCTTCCACACCTTATATGCTTTGTTTAAATCCACATCCTCTCCAGCATTTAGATATAATTTAATTCGCATTAGATTTCCCAAATGTGTGGCTTCAAGTCTATTTCGTGCTTGCACTTTAATGCTGTTCATAAGACTAAAACCTCGCTCGCAATCAGCGCTGGATGCTTGAAAAGTACAGCATATGTCAATTAACTTTGCCAGTGAGCTAAATTGTTCATCGTTTAAAGCAACTCCTGCGATTTCGGATAGTGAATTTACTGAACCTGATTTGAGTTTTTCGCTGATCTGAAATTTGAAGTCATTGTATTGCGTGATAATTGACTCTTCATTTGTTGTTTGTAACACATCTTTGTACTTTCCGCACAGTTCTTTAATCTCTTTGACGCCAAACTCAAATGCACAATTTTTTAAACCAGTATGATCAAAAGCTGACCAAAACTGAAGTTCATCTGCTGGAAACCTTACATTTAAATGATCGCAGACTGATCGTATAAACTGTATGATTTGTCTTGTGTCGATTCCTACGTTCTCATTCAAAATTTTCTTGGCTTTATCATTCCAATAAACATCTTCACTCAGGTATTGTGCTTCTAATTTGCGTATTTTAGAAATGCAAAATTGATGTGCTTCAATAGATGATAAATTACTTCGCTGCAACAACATTGATAGATTAGCTAATTCAGTTAATACATCATTAACGGTATACAGAGCAACTTGATACAGGGGATCTCTTAATGATTTCAAAATATAACCACAAACAGGATCATTGTAGTCTTGGACTTGTTCTTCACAGCATCAAGATTTCTAACAAAAGCACTGACAGCAAAGTGACGTGACAACCAAGGAACTTCGTGAATTGGTCGAAAAAAAATTACATCCATATCATGCACCTTGGCCAATTCTTCAAGTGCGCCCTTTTTAACTGAAGATCGACTAAATAAAGTGTAAACAGTGCGTAAGAGAACCTCAATATTTTTAAACAAATTAACATCTTTCCAAGCGTCAGAAAGTGCCAAGTCTTCTCGATGAGCAACACGGTGCTGTTCAACAAGATGGGGGACCTTAGCCTTCAGTAAAGCAGCTAATCCCTTCCTACGGCCTAACATAACCGATGCCCCGTCTGATGTTATCATTACCATGCGGTTCATGTCAAGTTGATGTTCAGTGTAGTACTGTGTTATGGCTGCCTCCAGAGCTGAGGCATCACATGCAGTAAGCTGAATTATCCCACCAAAAACGGTTTTGTAGAGTAAAGAATTGACTGGACGAAATTTAAAATAAAGGATTAGCATTTTATGTACAGTTATGTCAGTACTTTCATCAACTATAAGCGTGTGAAACTATGCTACTCGAAGTTCTGTCAGTATGTTCTTTACAACCACCTTGTTGATTGCTTCAACAAACTCAAAGGCGTAGTTCTTACTTCGCCAACTGTCTGGTATAGAAACATACTTCCCCATGTGGTTATGAATCAGTTGTACCGACAGCATCGAGGCGTTCATCCTAATGGCGAGAAGAACATTATCCATTAGGATTCGAACTTGATCCTCGTTTGAACGCTGGCGCTCATTTTGTTCAATTCGTTCTTCTCGCTCATTGTTAGTTTCAACCAGCAGACGTTTAAGACCAGTCCCATTTGAGCGGTTGTACACAATCGCAACATTTTCTACGTGAACACGAGACAATAAATGACGTTTACAGTAGTCAAGCTTCCATGATTCCCAGCGCTTTCCTGTGACGAATTCGTTGTCTTTGTTGGTTTTGTTACACGCACTAGCAGCACAGAACTTACACTTCAGTCCAATCTTATTCTTATCTGAATATTCATAGATGCTTCCTAATTCAACTGAAACATTCTTTGAATCGGGCGTATCGGTTATTACTACTTTAACTTTGATACATTTCAGTTTAAACGAATCTCTCGCTTTTTTTGGCTGCATTGTTTTACCGCTTGTTACACACATTTTTCTTTTCAACATTTTCAAATAGCACAGAGTAGTAAACTTTTATTCCTTATTTACCAAACCGGTTTGTGAACACTGAAACAGTTCAATCCAGGTGCACGTAATGATCCCAAGAATTGGATATATAAAGTATATAAATCCTTAAATCAAAAAGCAAAAACACATCCACCTCTAGTAGCGTAGAATTTGCATCTGACTTGGGTAAATCGTCAAAGTATCAAGGAAATGGGTGGGGTTGGGAGATGGGAGAGGGCAGTGGCAATAAAAAAAAACTTGCATGGTCAGCCAGTAGCCGCAATCCCTTTTAGGTATTAGGTGTCAGTGCTGCGGTCAGTTTTGGGGTAAACCATTAAATCAAGCAGAGGGAGTGTCACCCAGACATTTGGTCGGTACACCGCTCAGGTGAGAGGCAAGTCATAAACTAGACCTGTGCTATGACAACCGAGGTCAGAAACATTAAGTATCAGCTTGGTCCAGGCCAGTCAAACACAAAGACTGTTTGTTTAGCAAAACAGGCACTAAAAATGTCGCTTAATTCAAGCCACTGACCACAATTTTTTTTTAGTGAATCAGACTTGCCCGACGTTCTGATAATCTGTGCGCGGCATCAGAAAATGTCTGCGCGGCATATTTGTAAGTGCTGCGCGGCCGCGCAGCCGCGCAGCTTAGAGGGAACACTGGTGGTAACCCATCTTTCTTGTGTTAGTTTCTCCAACTGTCTCCAGTGGTAACCCATCTTTCTTGTGCTAGTTTCTCCAACTGTCTCCAGTGGTAACCCATCTTTCTTGTGCTAGTTTCTCCAACTGTCCCCAGTGGTAACCCATCTTTCTTGTGCTAGTTTCTCCAACTGTCCCCAGTGGTAACCCATCTTTCTTGTGCTAGTTTCTCCAACTGTCTCCAGTGGTAACCCATCTTTCTTGTGCTAGTTTCTCCAACTGTCTCCAGTGGTAACCCATCTTTCTTGTGCTAGTTTCTCCAACTGTCCCCAGTGGTAACCCATCTTTCTTGTGCTAGTTTCTCCAACTGTCTCCAGTGGTAACCCATCTTTCTTGTGCTAGTTTCTCCAACTGTCTCCAGTGGTAACCCATCTTTCCTGTGCTAGTTTCTCTGTCGTGGTAACTTAAGTTTCTTGTCCCCTAACATAGCTGAGGAGCTAAATTGAGCTTTACCTTTAAATATATATTTTTAAAAACCTCTAGACAAACCACTTTGGTGTGTATTGTTTACGTTTCACTGCTGTGTGAGCATAAAAATGCCGACTTGTAAACACAGCACTGAATCCACGCCAACTTCAGTTCATTTTTTTTTTGGTAGGGCATTTCCCAGTCAGTGTTAGAGTTGATCTGACTGGCTTGTGACCTTTGACTCGTGACCTTAGGCGCGTGCAGGGTCACGTGACTTAAATACCTGGGCTTGTTCCTGGAACCTTTTAAGACCCCTCGATGTCAGCGTCTATTGTGTGAAAACAAGGTTCTCTCCTCCTGGCCCGAGTGGAGTTGCCTCCCCTTGTGCATGTTTGAACCAGTGGAGTCAATTATTTCCCCGTCACTGTCTCGGTTGATGCAGGTGGTTCCATTCCGCTCACGCGCGCATGCTTCAGTCTAGTATGTACCTGACCCCCAGCCCCACCCCAGGTAACACCCCTCCCTCCCGCACCCCTGTACACACGGCTGTTCCATATATTACTACCAACGACGTGTTATATGTGGTGAATCCCGTTTAAACGATACAGGAAACTTGTACGCGGAAGATCTGTTTAAGACATCAGTTTCATGCGCTGAACTTGAACTCTACGTCTAATATTGTTGTAGTTTCCGTATTAAGAGTTACATTTTATCTGTTGCTCAACATAGTTCAAATTGCTTTAGATCATCAACTCATTGACTCGGCACATGTTTTCACAGAATGATCTCTCATGAAAGATGATCCCCCACAAAAACAAAACCCACCAACACACACACACACACATTATCCTATAATATCCGCCCATTTCCCATGTCCCCCTCAAGCACTGACCCCCACTTACCCCGACCCCCACTTACCCCGACCCCCACTTACCCCGACCCCCACTTACCCCGACCCCTACTTATCCAGACCCCCATTATAATGACCCCCTCTTATTGTGAACCCCACATACTCCAACCCCTACTAATCATGACCCCCCCCCTCTTACCGTGACTCCCCACCTACTCCGACCCCCACTCATCATGACCCCCACCTACTCCGACCCCCACTAACCACGACCCCCACTAACCACGACCCCCTACTCTTGCAGTTGGTGTCCACCAAGCTAATCAGCAGCAGTGACAACGTACCCCTCACGCCTGAGTTTATCCTGGAGGCGGTCAGCGAGGGCGGGGTCATTGCCAGGGTCGAGGTCACCCCGGAACCCTTGTTTGTGGCTGGTAAGTTCTGCTTGTCGTAACTACACTCAGTCCCCCTATTGAGACTAGATTTTCTTTCAGACATTCATTCCTTCGTATCACATTCTCTTTGTCTCTTGTATCACCATCTTACCTTCGAATCTTGTTTCACCACCTTCCCTATGACTTTTGTATCACCACCTTCCCTTCTATCCTTGTCACCATCTTCCCTTCAACTCTTGTATCACCACCATCCCTTCTATCCTTGTATCACCACCTTCCCTTCGACTCTTGTATCACCACCTTCCCTTCTACTCTTGTATCACCACCTTCCCTATGACTTGTATCACCACCTTCCCTTTCTACTATTGTATCACCACCTTCCCTTCGACTCTTGTATCACCGTCTTCCCTTCGACTCTTGTATCACCGTCTTCCCTTCTACTCTTGTATCACCACCTTCCCTTCTACTCTTGTATCACCACCTTCCCTATGACTTGTATCACCGTCTTCCCTTCAACTCTTGTATCACCACCTTCCCTTCGACTCTTGTATCACCATCTTCCCTTCTACTCTTGTATCACCGTCTTCCCTTCGTCTCTTGTATCACAGTCTTCCCTTCTACTCTTGTATCACCACCTTCCCTTCTATTCTTGTATCACCACCTTCCCTTCTACTCTTGTATCACCACCTTCCCTTCGACTCTTGTATCACAGTCTTCCCTTCGACTTTTGTATCACCGTCTTCCCTTCGAATCTTGTATCACCACCTTCCCTTCTACTCTTGTATCACCACCTTCCCTTCGACTCTTGTATCACAGTCTTCCCTTCGACTCTTGTATCACAGTCTTCCCTTCTACTCTTGTATCACCACCTTCCCTTCGACTCTTGTATCACAGTCTTCCCTTCGGCTCTTGTATCACCACCTTCCCTTCGACTCTTGTATCACCACCTTCCCTTCGACTCTTGTATCACAGTCTTCCCTTCGACTCTTGTATCACCGTCTTCCCTTCGACTCTTGTATCACCACCTTCCCTTCGACTCTTGTATCACCACCTTCCCTTCGACTCTTGTATCACAGTCTTCCCTTCGTCTCTTGTATCACCACCTTCCCTTCGACTCTTGTATCACAGTCTTCCCTTCGACTCTTGTATCACAGTCTTCCCTTCTACTCTTGTATCACCACCTTCCCTTCGACTCTTGTATCACAGTCTTCCCTTCGGCTCTTGTATCACCACCTTCCCTTCGACTCTTGTATCACCACCTTCCCTTCGACTCTTGTATCACAGTCTTCCCTTCGACTCTTGTATCACCGTCTTCCCTTCGACTCTTGTATCACCACCTTCCCTTCGACTCTTGTATCACCACCTTCCCTTCGACTCTTGTATCACAGTCTTCCCTTCGTCTCTTGTATCACCACCTTCCCTTCGACTCTTGTATCACAGTCTTCCCTTCGTCTCTTGTATCACCACCTTCCCTCCTACAGAGTTCGTCATGTCACCTAGCGAGGACTACGAGAACCTTCTCGCCTCAGACAGCGCCACCTGGTATGTCGAGAAAGAGAACGGCATCAACGCGTCCATGAAGCTGGACACGGAAGTGGTCACGGCCGAGGACGGCTCCTACGTGGGCATGACCGGACTGGTCACCTTTCGGGGGCCGGAGTGGCTGAACGGACACGACACCCATGCCTACGTCATGTACTGGTTCATGTTCGACTGTGACAACGCCTACGACTACGTGCCGCGGTGCAACGTGGCTAGGTTCTACAGGGGCAGCACCGTCTACGGAAAAACTGCAGACACGGTAAGTTATTTAGCACGGCTGGACTGATTACCCGAAGGTCTCGAGTTCGACCCTGAGTCCAACCCAACTATGATGGGTACCTAGCTCATGTTAGGGAAAGTATATATATATATAGTGGGTATAGTGCTGGCCACATTATCCCTTCATACGCCGAAGTAAAAAAAAAAAAAAAAGCAGGTGAACTCTACTTCACTGCCCCACAGACGGTCAGGTTTGAAAGGGAACTTAAATACGGAAAACCCTCAGAAACGGGAAAAAGATTTTTCAGTACAGTTTGCGGCAAAAACGGTAGGACCACTATGTCAGTAGATGTTCCGATACTAGTGTGGTTCAACCCTTTTTGTGCCAACCCAGCCTTGAGGTTGGAGAATATTTATCGAACTATGACGTCACCAGAACGAACTCGCACGTGTTAAACCACGTGCTAAACCACGTGATCCCATGAATAGCCTGACATTATCAGCGCGAGATCAGTGTCAGGATTTGTGTATGACAGAAGACATCTGTCCGGTGGTTCTAATTACTGACGACTGTTCTAGCTCCTCATCTTTTCTAAATCGTACTCAACTTTACACAACTTTCTTCAAACATAATTTAGTTATTCTAACTCTCAACTAAATGTAAGCGCGTTGTTAGTTTCGTTTTATGGTTTTGTTTTAATAGATTGTACACGAATCAAAGAAGTAACCAATTATTTTTAAAAAAAAAAAGATTTAAAAAAAAATTCTTTTTAAACAAAGTAATATTTTTTTAAATATTTGTTTGATATTTGAGCCTTGATATAGCTTCGTTTAAATTAGCTTCCGATTTTTTGTTTTACTTTAAAAAAGAAATAATTAAAATGTATATCACTGCTATGTCTGCGTTTCAGTGGCGTAGCGAGGTCGGGTGTCACCCGGTGCGGCACTTAATGGTGTCACCCCCCCAGAGGCGTTGCGACCCTTCCCGGGGACAAACTTTCAAGTTTTCGATTTGCACCCCTCCCCCTCGAACTTTCGATTTGCACCCCACCCTCAAGTTTTCGATTTGCACCCCCCCTCAAACTTTCGATTTGCACTCCCCCCCCCCTCAAACTTTCGATTTGCACCCCCCCCCCCCCCTCAAGTTTTTCTCTATATATTTTGCTATTTTTTGCCTTGGTGTCACCCCCCTAAATGGTGTCACCCGGTGCGGTCCGCACCCCCCGCCCCCCCCCCCCCCCCCCCTCGCTACGCTCCTGCTGCGTTAAGTTCGTGTTTAAAATGTGCTCCTGTTCTACAGATTACCTACCTGATCAAAAACCTGTACTTTAACGCCGTCTACAAGCTCATCATCGTGTACCATAACGACAGCCGCATCATCAGCGAGCTGGCCTTCAAGACGGAGCCGTGCGAGAAGCCGGACGTGATGCGCTGGACGAGGTGTATGGACAGCATCAAGGAGGACGAGAGGCCGAATGTCCTCATCAAAGGACCCGGTCCTGTCGACACGGGTATGTTATCCATGTTATCCATCAAATACGTCTTTGTTACGTGTTTAAAAACGGTATGCTTGTATACTTAAGGAATAATTTAAATGGTTAGTTTTATTTATTAAATAACTTTACTTACTGCATTAATTGTTTTAATATTAGAAATCAGAATAAAGACATTTTAAAAATTCTTTATAAAAATAAAAAAAATTAAGTAGCACAAAGCATCGTACAAATTATGCTGGATTTGTATTAGAGCTGAGTGGGGACTGCTCTAGCACAAAGCTAACAGCCAGTGGTAACGCGCCTTAAACATGCGAGTATCTATCAGGCTTTATTGGTGTTGAAGATCAATCTCCGCTATGGAATGGCTTTTTGTCAGCGTTAGTATGGCTTTTTGTCAGCGTTAGTATGGCTTTTTGTCATAAACCACCGCCATGACAAATGTTTTGTTCCTTCACACGCCACAAAACGTGAGCTAATTAATTGTAGTAAAACTAATCCGATTAACACCACTGCACACACTGTACCATGTACACACGTATCTGAAGGTACACCGTACACACGTATAATAATGGTGTAATGTTTCAGAAGACGAACCTAATTTATATCACGTAATGTTTCAGAACACGAACTTAATTTATATCACGCGATGTTTCAGAAGACGAACCTAATGTATATCACGTAATGTTTCAGAAGACGAACGGCTGTACCTTAACATCACCTCGATGACCATCGACGAGAGCAACGACCACGTCCGGGTCAACGTCACGTGGGTGCCCATCAACCAATCGGGCACGACCTACAACGTGACGACCCTGGTCCAGGGGGAGACGACCCTGGTGGTCGAGCGAGTCGTGACCCCCCAGCCCTACATCGTCCTGAGCCTCCAGCAGGACACACATTATCTTGTCAAGGTGAGTTTCCCTTTCCTCAACACAAACCGCTGAAGTAAACAGTTTCGCGTCGGGGAAAACGGTCGGGAAAGGAAAAAATTCCTCAGACGTGAAGATCAACAATGATAGAAAGAGATCAACGATATCTTTTAAAACGGCTTTTGAAAAAAAAATTAATTTAAATTGGGTTTGGAGTTCAGCTGTTAATGTAAACTATTCCATTACATTTGAACTCTTCTTTGATGATAATAGAAGCTTACATAGCTTACATCAGTGTTTGATTGGCTGCAGTGTAAGCAGACTCTAATTACTTCATTACATGTCTAATTTAATATATAACATCTATTTACATGTTTACAGAAAGTAAAAGAAATTACTAGTAATGTGCTAGCCACTTTAAAAACTCCTTCCCTGTCATCCGAACCCCCCCCCCCCCCCCACGTCAGTGGCGTAGCGAGGTCTGGTGTCACCCGGTGCGGCACTTAATGGTGTCCCGTCCCCCCCCCCCAGTGGCGTAGCGACCCTTCCCGGCGCCCGGGGACAAACTTTCAATTTTCGATTTGCACCCCCCCCTCAAACTTTTGATTTGCACCCCCCCCCCCACACCCTTGTCGGGATTTGTCAAATTTGCTCTTAAAAGACTTTTTAACACTCGAATTAAACACTTAATTAAGTGGAATTATCATTTTTCTCTATATATTTTGCTATTTTTTGCCTTGGTGACAGCCCACTAAATGGTGTCACCCGGTGCGATCCGCACGCCCCGCCCCGCTCCCTCCCCCCCCCCCCCTTCGCGACGCCACTGCCCCCCGTCATCTGAACCCCTCCCCGTCATCTAAAGCTCTCTTTCTCTCTGACGTTTGGTGGAATGCTCGTTTATGAGACGTACAATCAGTAGAATGTAGGTGGGCAGGTAATGTGGAGTCTAGAAACAGACCCGGATGTTAATTAGAGATGTAAGGTAAGACATCTGTTGGGGACATTAGTAACTGGGTGGACACGAAGTGGAAGAGGGTGTGTGGGTGGGGGGGGGGGGGGAGGAGGAGGAACTGGGTGGGCACTTTGTGAAGGATTGGGAGGGGGAGGAGTCAACTTTTAACGAAACACGTATCCCAACGTTTCTTTTAATAACGATGACAAGACCCAGGCTAGCTACCCTCAGACACTGAAGGACGAGTAGTTTGTTTGGTCGGAGATTCTGAAATGGCGGACACACTTCGTTGTTTTTTAAAACATGGTACAAGTGATAAGATGATGAACATGAACATGAATCTCCACTTTCTTGAACATCGGTCTGGCTCGGTAACTAGACGCCAATTTGATAGAGTAAGGAAGGTGTATGGGAAGTGTAAGGGAAGTGTAAGGGAAGTGTAAGGGAAGTGTAAGGGAAGTGTTAGGAAGGTTTAAAGAACCAGAGCTTATCTTAGAACATTGGAGCTGCGCGGTAACTAGATGCCAATTTTAGTGTAAACATAATGTAGGGAGCAAAGTTGAAAAACCTCGATTGTGATTCTATATTTACTTGTCGTATTGTTTTTGTATTGTTTTTATATCTGAAGTTGCAAGCAATAAGAAAAACTAATTTTAAAATTTTATTTTAGCTGGACCCCAGCCCCGCCCATTTAGCCGGACCCCAGCCCCGCCCATTTAGCCGGACCCCAGCCCCGCCCATTTAGCCGGACCCCAGCCCCGCCCATTTAGCCGGACCCCAGCCCCTACCATTTAGCCGGACCCCAGCCCCTACCATTTAGCCGGACCCCAGCCCCTACCATTTAGCCGGACGCCATTTAGCCTTACCCCAGCCCCTACCGTTTAGCCGGACGCCATTTAGCCTTACCCCAGCCCCTACCGTTTAGCCGGACCCCAGCCCCTCACCCATTTAGCCGGACGCCATTTAGCCTTACCCCAGCCCCTCACCCATTTAGCCGGACGCCATTTAGCCTTACCCCAGCCCCCCACCCATTTAGCCGGACCCAGCCCCCCCCCCCCACCCATTTAGCCGGACCCCAGCCCTGCCCTCTTCCCGTCTCCTGTACCTACCTCTCGTTACGTGAGCCCACTAGTAGCCTCACAGCGCCGATAACAAGGGCAATAACTTAAAGACTAACAAGAAAACAATGACACACAGGGGCCGATAACACTGATAATACGGGAAGAGAGAGCACCCCCACCCCCACACCCCTCCCTCCGAAAACGTTTCTTGGCAAACGTATCAGCGCCGGCCTGTCACCCCGTCTGCTCAGGTGTGCGCCATAGATCTTAAAGGCTGAATTCCTATCAGGTCGGCCAGGTTTCCGATCCCGGGGGTGACGGGCGGGTTGACGGGTGGGTGGAGATTACGCTGATACGCCCGGGGGGTGAGAAATGTGTCTTGTCGCCGGTACGGCGAGTACATCTAGTCAAATCTCAACACGGCGCGCGATGTTTTTTTTAATGTATTAATTTATAATTTCCGAAGAGGTGCATTTCGATTATATCCATCTGCATGTACTAGCCATTAGAACCGTTGATAGAAAATTTTCAAACCTTTCCATTCATGGCTGAGTTTATGGTTAATGTTACCCGCTCGTTAGCATAGAGCGGGAGCTTAGGTACACTTAAATATGATTCAACTTAAAAAACAACTTCAATTAGGGATACTTATAATTGTATTATGACAGAGCCGCTAATGAAAATAACACGTATTGGCTTATTGTTATTTTTTATAGCTTCTCAAGTCACCTTTAGATTCAGGATGATAAACAAAACGATATAATTTTTCCTTGTGGTGCCAAAGTTTGCGTCAGTGAGCAAACATCGGAGACTGGCGTGGAGAACCTTGTAGCCAGAAGAAAAACGTTGATGGTCTGATAGACTGATACACGCGGGAGGTTGAAATCCCGCTGACTTGGCGGTATTTGTTAATTGGCGATTTCAGGAGCTCGGTCTTTAGGGGGCTCGGCGCCTGAGGGCTTGTCTTTCATCTGATAGCGCAGACAATATTCTTGCTGGCTAGACGTCTTCGTTAGTCTACAAGAAAAATGTCCAATTTTACATGGCCAATATTCTTGCTGGCTAGACGTCTTCGTTAGTCTACAAGAAAAATGTCCAATTTTACATGGCCAATATTCTTGCTGGCTAGACGTCTTCGTTAGTCTACAAGAAAAATGTCCAATTTTACATGGCCAATATTTTTGCTGGCTAGACGTCTTCGTTAGTCTACAAGAAAAATGTCCAATTTTACATGGCCAATATTTTTGCTGGCTAGACGTCTTCGTTAGTCTACAAGAAAAATGTCCAATTTTACATGGCCAATATTCTTGCTGGCTAGACATCTCCGTTAGTCTACAAGAAAAATGTTCAATTTTACATGGCCAATATTCTTTCCGGCTAGACGTCTTCGTTAGTCTACAAGAAAAATGTCCAATTTTACATGGCCAATATTCTTTCCGGCTAGACGTCTTCGTTAGTCTACAAGAAAAATGTCCAATTTTACATGGCCAATATTCTTTCTGGCTAGACGTCTTCGTTAGTCTACAAGAAAAATGTCCAATTTTACATGGCCAATATTCTTGCTGGCTAGACATCTTCGTTAGTCTACAAGAAAAATGTCAAATTTTACATGGCCAATATTCTTTCTGGCTAGACGTCTTCGTTAGTCTACAAGAAAAATGTCCAATTTTACATGGCCAATATTCTTGCTGGCTAGACGTCTTCGTTAGTCTACAAGAAAAATGTCAAATTTTACATGGCCAATATTCTTTCCGGCTAGACGTCTTCGTTAGTCTACAAGAAAAATGTTCAATTTTACATGGCTAATATTCTATCCGGCTAGACGTCTTCGTTAGTCTACAAGAAAAATGTCCAATTTTACATGGCCAATATTCTTTCCGGCTAGACGTCTTCGTTAGTCTACAAGAAAAATGTCCAATTTTACATGGCCAATATTCTTTCCGGCTAGACGTCTTCGTTAGTCTACAAGAAAAATGTCCAATTTTACATGGCCAATATTCTTGCTGGCTAGACGTCTTCGTTAGTCTACAAGAAAAATGTCCAATTTTACATGGCCAATATTCTTGCTGGCTAGATGTCTTCGTTAGTCTACAAGAAAAATGTCCAATTTTACATGGCCAATATTCTTGCTGGCTAGACGTCTTCGTTAGTCTACAAGAAAAATGTCAAATTTTACATTACATGGCCGATATTCTTGCTGGCTAGACATCTTCGTTAGTCTACATTAGTCTACAAGAAGAATGTCAAATTTTACATTATAAGTAAACTTTTCAAGTTTACATTACAAGAAAACTGTCCTTTTCCGCATAGTTTTATAGCCTTTCAGGACACTTGAAAAGAAATGAAAATAACAGATGTACTCACAGTTGAATGTTTGAGTACTCACTGCTTGAGATGGTATTCAACAGCGAGTTGTTGTGTTAGCGGGTGACTCAGTTGTCAGGAAAACCGCAGGGTCCAGATGTATGACGTCAACTGTGCTGTAGCACACTGAGTGTGACGCTTACTTTGACACCAGGTATGCCGATATTTTACCGAAATATATATTCTTTTCTCTTTAGGTGGAAGCGGTTCTCAAACCTCAGCCTGGGGTAGTCCCAGAACCAAGCCACCTGGCTGGAACCCTGAAGTTTAACACGTCCGATGTCAACTTGGCCATCTATCAGGAGCCGGTGGCCTTCCGGCTGCAGAACGGTGAGTCGTCTGGTGCGGGCCTTTCTTTCTGTATTGTAGAACTACATCAGAGGTGCGTTACTTTCTTTCTGTATTGTACAACTACATCAGACACACAAGACACATCGTTATAAGAACTCTCTAGTCCAGTCCTTCTTTAGTCACCATGCATCATATTGTACAAGCCGTCCTGAATGGGTTAATGCGACATTTTTGTTTTAAACCAATTGCAACCAAATAATCCAATTTTGTTTTAATGTAGCAAAAACAGCACTTCCATCCATATTAGCCACACATATCTGACATATTCATATTGCAAGTCATAATATGCCCACATTAACCAAACATATCTGACATATAGTTAGTCATGATGATCCCAAATTAAGCGCATCCTACATATAGTTAGTCATGATGTTCCCAAATTAAGCACATCTGACATACATCTAGTTATAGTGTTCTCACAATAGTGACACATATTCAAACGAGCCTTACAAATATGGTGCAACACATTTAACCATTAGTTCATTTCACCAGAGATCTTAATTAAAACATAATTACATTACTATCAGAAAATTTTTTTTTTATAACCTTTCAACTTTCTACTCATTTTTTTTTTAAATTTATTTCTGGTTTGTGGTTTAAAATATTTTATTTTAAATCCAAAATCGTCAACCAGTCAGCTGGTAATTATGTTTAGGTAATTATGTTTAGGTAATTATGTTTAGGTAATTATGTTTTGAATTGGTCTCCCCAGTGGATGACATCCGGCAGGTCAACGGGATTATAATCGCCGTCTCGTGCGTCATCGCCGTCTTCGTGCTGGTCATCCTGGCAGCCATCTTGTACAAAAAGCGGAAGAGCCTGACCGACATCATCGTTACCAAGGCGACGGTCGCCAAAAGTAACAGCTACAAATCCAACGTGGGAGGTAAGGACATTGTGGTCAAGGTTTTACATTTTTATACTTAAAACGTTTTTATTGGTTGTTAGGGTCAACAATTTTGTTTAAATTTCACTTCCGTTGCTGGTTTCGTTTCAAAACTTGTCTCTTTACTGAGGTTTTTTTTAATGTACACATTTTTCCATTACCAATTACCCATCGTCATTAAATTTAAAAAGTTTCACCGCACTCCAGTTTTAGCGAAATTAAAATCTCGACTTTTCACATCCGGTTGGAGCTTTTAGCGCTCATAAATTATTCCCAAATTGAACCCCGTGTCGCAGACAGGCAAAACCCAAGTGACCCGCTTCAATGGGTCACGGGTTAAATTAATGATAGGAACGTGGTGAGAAACATGCTTCGAATAGACCTCTGCGGTCAAATATTTGTTTGAACATCAATTTTTGAAATGAATTAAAAAATACGATTTTTCTCGAATATTCCATAAATTGTTGAACACACCTGATTGATTTTGACGTGTTCTAATGGTTCCCGTGATTTAGCCATTTGCTGGAGACTTTTAATTACAGAAAGCGTGGGAGTTCAGCAAAATGTGGTTTCTATTGGAAAACTTAATGTATTACAGATAGAGATAAAACAAAATCTTTCAAAGCGTTATAAGCATTAGCTGGGTGTACTTCTCTGCCAATGTGGTACTACAACAAGGATGTATTTGTAGAATGACTTACTCAGAAACAGATCTAATATTGAACTACAAATATACTTAAAACTGAATTTCGTAATTGAATCTTAATGCTGAAAATGTTGTCTTTTCTAAAATCACCGCTTTAAAGCAACTTGTCACAAATATTTTCTATATGCAGCATTTTTAATACAACACATCCGAAATATTTCATCTTAATTGTCTTGTTTAAAACTTGTCAAAAATCAGTATTTTTCTGTTTATTTTGTCGAAAATGGCTTGGCCGACAATGACTGTACCGGGTAAATTTGAGTAGTGTTCCATTAAGGGCAGAGCACTCCCCCTGCCCCACTGACCACTATTGCAGGTAAATCTTACCTTTGTGTCCCACTATTGCAGGTAAATCTTACCTTTGTGTCCCACTATTGCAGGTAAATCTTACCTTTGTGTCCCACTTTTGCAGGTAAATCTTACCTTTGTGTCCCACTATTGCAGGTAAATCTTACCTTTGTGTCCCACTATTGCAGGTAAATCTTACCTTTGTGTCCCACTATTGCAGGTAAATCTTACCTTTGTGTCCCACTATTGCAGGTAAATCTTACCTTTGTGCCCCACTATTGCAGGTAAATCTTACCTTTGTGTCCCACTATTGCAGGTAAATCTTACCTTTGTGCCCCACTATTACAGGTAAATCTTACCTTTGTGTCCCACTATTACAGGTAAATCCGACTACTCCAACCAGCTGATTGTGTTCTCCGATGAGTGGGAGCTAGACCCACTCAAGCTCAAGTTCAGCACACTGCTGGGTCAGGGCGCCTTTGGTAAAGTGGTCACGGGCTACTTCGAGGATCAGAAAGTAGCCATCAAGCTGGTCAGAGGTAAGACTTTGTACTTGTTTGGTGTACACGTTTGTGTACAATGATGTTTTACCAATGTGTACAAGGTTGTTTTACCAATGTGTACAAAGTTGTTTTACAAATATGTTCAAATCTGTTGTACAAATGTATGCATGTTTTTCAAAAATCGTAAACATGGAAGTTGTAGGTAGGTCAGGTCAGGTTTGTCTGTCGTCCCTCCTGGGACATAGGCCGCTGACAAGAGCTTTCCATGCGTGTCTGTCCTGGGCTAGTCTCTCCAACTGTCCCCAGGTGTATCCAATCTTCCTTGTGTCTTCTTCCAGGTCACGTCTACAGGTCTTTCTTGGTATGCCTCTCCTCTCTTGGAAGTTGTAGTTACAGTTATATTTATAAAAGCATCATACACCTATATCATCGTGTATCACATATATTCAACTATGGCGAATTGATGCTTTCATATTAAGATAACACCCGCAGACATCATGTAGATAATGTCGTTTATATTCAATTACTTTTTAAAATTAGTTTATCGCTCAATTGAACGAAGACGTGTGATGAACTCGTCACATGCTGTGTCTGCTTGGTAACGTAAAATAAATAGTTTTATTTTTTTAAATTTGTGTTCCAACACACGACTGGTTCAGCGCTCAGCTCTGAAAGTTAACCCAGTGACGAGATAGCAACCCCCCCCCCCCCCGACCCATTGACTAGTTACCCCCCCCCACCAGTGACTAGTAACCCCCTCTCTACCCAGTGAATAGTAACCCCCCCCCTCCCTACCCAGTGACTAAAGTTAGCCCCCCTACCCAGTGACTAGTACCCCCCCCACCAGTGACTAGAGTTACCCCCCCCTACCCTTTGACTAGAGCCAAACCCCCCCCCCCATACCCCGACAGTCTGTATTTTCTATCCAAACATGATCTCGATGCACACCCCTCGCCTGTCTCACCTAGTGCTAAAATCATCAACGTACCCACCCCGCCCCGCGGGTCTTGCATAAGGGAGGAGTATTTTTTGTAGGACGATTTGTATAAGCAAATGTTGAGGAGGGGGGTTGTGTTACCACATTATTGGGGGTGGGGATGTAGAGAGGGGGTCTTTACAACCAAATGTTGGGGAGGGGGAGTTTGGATTACCAAATCATTATGGGTGGGGTGTAGGGAGGGGTCCCTTTACAACCAAATGTTGGGGAGGGGGATTTTGTGTTTCCGCACTTTTAGGGTGGGGTTGTAAAGAGGGGAGGGGGTGGACCTTTTTAACCCAAGGTAGAGAGGGTACTTGCTCACCTATTGTGTCCATGAGAGAAACAAATCTTTCATTTGACCCCCATTTTGTAGAACGATTTTGAGGATCCCTGTATTACAACCCACCCACCCCCCCCCCCTTCCTCCTTCCCTCATTATTCATAGTAGGGTGTGTAATGGGCCGTGAAACTAGAACAAAATGGTACGTTACTATCTGAGATTTGTTTTAAACTACCCAAGTGGTCTGGAGGTGGGGGAGAGTATGGTAATGGGGGGGGGGGGGGAGAGAACATGCTGCTTTCCTGTTTGTTGTAGAGAATAAGGGAGGGGACTGCTGATGAGGAGGATATCGATTGACGTGTAACGAACATTATTAATGAGCATAAAAATTGTTCATAGATTTCTGTCTTTTTTCTATCTTTACTTTTTTTGTATCCCAGTATCTTTTTTTTCATTATTTTTTCATTATTTTTTCATTATTTTTTTCATTATTTTAAAATTATTTGTTTGTGGACCAAGTGACCTTTCCATGGGTTTTGCCAGATCATTTTTCCACACAAAAAATCAGTGACTTAAAAAAATGTTCCCAAGCGATAAATGTTATTATAGTTTAATCAATCGCCACCAAAAAAATAATTTGTTGTTTATTTCTACGCTACGGATCTAACAAAACCAATGCAGACTTTTTAAAAATATATATTTGCCGATCGTAATTTCAATACGGCAATTCTACATGCAGAAGAATCTAAAAAGAATTTTTTTTAAATGGAAGTTACGATACATATCTGTCATTTTTACCCTCAGTCATCCACCGCCCCCACCCTCACCTCCACCCCCACCTCACCCTCACCTGCCCACCTCCCAAAACAGCCGTATTAGTAACCATTTCATCTGACACCACGATTTAAAATAAACATTCTATCTTGAGAGATGCTGCCTTTATTTTTTCACCATCGTTAACCCTTGTAACTCGAACTTAAAATTACTTTCCCATCATACATTTTTCAGCTAAAAATAAAACATTGCTGTCACATATTTTAACATGAATTCACACATTTGCCTAAATTCAAATTTAACCTGAATTTGAGTTTCTTGATGCAATTGTCTCCCACACATCCCAAAATGACGCCATCCCCACCCCTCTCACAACTAAAAAATCATGAGATAGAATGGCATAGACTCCGCTAGACTCCCTCCCTGACTCCTCTAGACACCCTCCCTGACTCCTCTAGACACCCTCCCTGACTCCTCCACTCTCCCTGACTCCTCTAGACTCACTCCCTGACTCCTCCAGACTCACTCCCTGACTCCTCTAGACTCACTCCCTGACTCCTCTAGACTCACTCCCTGACTCCTCTAGACTCACTCCCTGACTCCTCTAGACTCATTCCCTGACTCCTCTAGACTCACTCCCTGACTCCTCTAGACTCACTCCCTGACTCCTCTAGACTCTCTCTCCCTGACTCCTCTAGACTCTCTCTCCCTGGCTCAACTAGACTCCCACTGACTCCTCTACTCTCCCTGACTCCTCTAGACTCTCTCCCTGACTCCGTCAAATCAATATTCCCTGTCACACTCACACCGTAAATTCCTGACATTCCTAGAGCACCCCCTCCCACACCCCTAAAATCCCACCCCCTCCCACGCCCCTAAAGCCCCCCCCCCCCCCCCCACACACACACCCATGAAGATGCCTGCAGTCAGGGTCCGATCCTGCTTAAAATTTACAATGCGACTAACCGTGTGCGATCTCCGCAAGCCAAAACCACAAGTGAACCAATTACCTCATGTTGCTTTAAATTTTTAAACCAGTTAACACCGAGGCGCTATTTAAACAGTCAACCAACTAAGAGAGCACAAGTGAATTAAGTGCCTTTAGCATTGAACCGCCATTAACCCGGTCTGGATTTAAGGTCAGCGACGGAACGCTTAAAAGTGTTAGACAGGTAGGGCTGGGTAAGGTGGGGTGGGGGGGGGGGGGTGAGGGTGAGCAGTGCCAGGTGTGGCTGTAAAGTTTATCAGTGAGTGCTTCAAGTTGGCTGTTGTTTTAACCAAGTGCCTCGAGAAAACGGATCACTTGAGACCATGTCGAGTGACGTAACTGACCAAAAGGCCACGAGCTATTTCATTTCTTTCAATAGTTCTAATGGCACGAGCATGATGGTTGGGATAAACAGTGCGTGCATGTGAAACTGATTAATAAATTAGTTTTGATCATCACGTGCCATGTACATATGTGTACAACATTTGCTGGTCCTTAAAGGGTTAATGTCTTGATTAAAGTTCAGTTCCCTCAATCTACCAGCACAAAGCCCAGTCGTCTTCACGTGCCAGTCACCCATCAGATGTACCCCGGGGATGGTCTACGCCATCGGGCCTGTGATCCGAACTCGAAACTTTCGAGAACACCTTCCCATGGCGCTAACATTTTTGCCAAAATATAAAAAAAAATATATTTAAAAATCACTGTTTTGTAAGCAGTTTGAATATCGAATCGGCAAACTTTTCTCATGTAGACCTATTGTATTAACTAAAATCGTATACTGTCATGGGGCTCTAGAAACACTTTAAACTATGGTCACCCTAGAACAGGGGTCGACAACCTGCGGCTCGCGAGCCGCATGCGGCTCTTTTGATATCAAGATGCGGCTCTCCAGCTCCTTGAACAAATACTAAGAATCTTAATAACAAAATAAAATATATGAAATAAAAAAAAATGTTAGTGGCTCTTTAAAGCCAGGAAAATTTTGAAAATTGTAACTTTTGGCTCTTCCGCTTCAAAAGGTTGCCGACCCCTGCCCTAGAACAAAAGCTTTCGAGTACTTAAAGCTCCTCTTCGCTATATCGTATTAAAATATACGAATAGTTAAGATGCAGTCTTATTGTCTGAATTAGTTACAGGCTGACAATGAGTATTCTGCTCAGCGTTTCGGAAATTTCTAATTATCACCTTTTGGTTTTTTTTAAAAAAAAGTATTTGCTCTCTCCGGGAGCGTATTTTAACGCTAATCTCAACCCATGCGGGAGGTTGGCGCATGCGTCGATTCGACTTCCGACATTTATCTTTATTTGTTCGTTTCCGCTTACATCATGTTCCGAGATTCGCGCGTCTGAGGTCCCCTGCCGTCGCCGCACTAATGCAGTTAGCCGCGCTACGTCTGACGATCTGCGGCTGCGCAGAAGCGTGGCTAGCTGTCTGATGACGTCAGACTTCCTGGCGCTGGAGGTGCTGATGTCCTGCTGCACTTGGCGGCTCGTGGGGCGCACGTGACAGTGACGTGGGTATCGCACGGTCGTCTGGGGTTGGTGTTGTTGTTGTCTTAAAATGTAATCACTGGAACCGTTATTTGGAGAAAAGTCTGGTAACGCGAGACTGACTTGGAGCATACGTTGACTTATTGAGTCATTGATAGACCAAATTATTAAACATTGGCCATATTAAATATAGAGCATACATTGAGTATTGGTAGACCAAATTATAGATTGGCATTATTTAATATAAGGCATACATTGACAATTGCTAAACCAAATTAAACATTGGCCATATTAAATATAGAGCGTACATTGAGCATTGGTAGACCAAATTATACATTGGCATTATTTAATATAAGGCATACATTGACAATTGATAGACCAAATTAAACATTGGCCATATTAAATATAGAGCATACATTGAGCATTGGTAGACCAAATTATACATTGGCATTATTTAATATAAGGCATACATTGACAATTGATAGACCAAATTAAACATTGGCCATATTAAATAGAGCATAACACTGGTTTCTTTTTCTACTGATACATATAAACAAACTAATGTAAACATTTACATTATTCCGAACATGATCCCTCTCAGTGTTTCTTCCAGACTTTTTTTCTCTGGGGGCGGGGGGTGGGGAAGGGGGCACTTGAAATTTCCGGGGGGCGGACACTGTCAAAAGTATATATATTCCATGTAAATTCCATTCCGTTTGGAGGGCGGTAGACTCTCTGTGGCGGAGCCCTCCCCCCCCCCCCCTTGAATGGATGCCTGGAAGAAACATTGATCCCGCATTCGAATTACAACTTAAAGTCAGTGTGTCCTGACCTAGCCACTATCAATATATCGGGTAGTTCAAACACTCGAGCTCACACCAAACGACCAGACATGTGTACTCACCCCAACAATCACAAACCACAACAGTCTCGCTTGCTCTTAGAATACCACACGCATCTTTCATAACGCCACTCGTATAGAAAAAAATACACGTGCAGATTTATGCACATCAAGGTGAGTTAGAATTTTTTAAAACCTCATCCCCGTCTAAATGTCTGGGTACTCAGCTACCAGACGTTGGACGGGTGTCGTGAAATGTGTACTCACCTACCAGACGTTGGACGGGTGTCGTGAAATGTGTACTCACCTACCAGACGTTGGACGGGTGTCGTGAAATGTGTACTCACCTACCAGACGTTGGACGGGTGTCGTGAAATGTGTACTCACCTACCAGACGTTGGACGGGTGTCGTGAAATGTGACTCACGCTGACAGGAATGTCGGTCACGCCGAGCCCAGGGACAGGGGGGGGGGTAAAGGCCACCCATTGTTGATGTTCCCGTGGTGTTACCCACCTCTCTTTCATCTTTCTACCTCCCCCCCCCCCCCCCCCCATTTCACCACTCTCAATTTACTACTCTGTTGTTAAAAATTATATTGCACCCGTCCAATCTTATTGTTAAATTTAAAAATTATGAGACCTAAATATTTTAATATGATATATTGTGACTACTATCTTTAAATATTTTTTTTTAAAAATAACTCGACCTAATTCTGGTTCAACTTCTACTAAAAAAAATAAACCTCGGATTGTATGTACTTAGAACATCATTCACATCAATGCCCTGTCCAGTTTCATTCTTTTTGTAATGAGGTTGAGTTACAACAAAAGTTCCATTGCTCTTTCGGCCTACGGCAGGGGTCGGCAACCTTTTGAGTCGGAAGAGCCGAAAGTTACAATCTACAAAATTTCCCAGACTTTAAAGAGCCACTAACATTTGTATGTGCACTTCGGTAGTGGAAAGCATAGAACAATTGCCACGGGTCTGGCCACAGCATAGTTGTGCGGCTGGGCCTAATGCCTAATGCCCTAGGCCAGGGGTTCCCAACCTTTTTTTACTCTAGAGCACATTCTAAAATATCGGTATTTTAAATCTATTTTAAATCGACAAACTCCTTCCAGGGGCGTAGCGACCGTTCCCGTCACCCGGGGACAAAACTTTCGATTTGCACCCACCCCCCCTCAAACTTTTGATTTGCACCCCCCCCCCCCCCCCTCCAAATTTTCGATTTGCACCCACCCCCCACCCTCAAACTTTCGATTTCCATCCCCTTCAACCTTTCAATAATGCTTATGAAAAAAATTCTGTCTCTGTCGAATAGTGAGAGGCGGGCACATACGAATCGTTCGGCGGGCGCCATGGCGCCCGCTGGCACGGGGTTGTGAGCCCCTGCCCTAGGCTGTCAACTGTCCATATACACTCTACTCCACCTATTGTCGTTGTTATTTTTTTATTTTGTTTGAAGTATTTGTTCTTACAGTATAATTTTTTTTTTGGTTTCTATAATAAACCTTTATAATTATTATAGAACTAGAGAGCCGCATATTGACATCAATATTGACATGCAACTTGCGAATGGCAGGTAGCCGACCCCTGCGTGCGAGTAATTTGGTTAACACAAGAAATCTTGTAGATCTATACATTTTTTGAGAAACTAATTCTACCTGATGTGTGATTGATTAAATATAAGGAATTTACTTTATTAACGCGAAGTTATCTTACATAGTTATGAGTTTCGTAATTTAATTAAAAATATTTTTTCTATTAGTATCAATACATTTTAAAGGCAGACAAAATGTGTACATAACATTTATTAATACTTATAGAAAAGTAAACAAAATCAACAAGGATTTACATGAGTTTTATATTTCAACTGGGGTATTGGTTTATTTATTAATTTGATAACATAGTTTAAAGTTGTTTCCCTTATTTGTTTAGAACTAAAATATCGGAAGTAACAAAAAGAAACCAATATAATACAGATCTATCAAGTTACAACATTGCTGTGTTGTATAGAAGAATTAAGATTTATGTTTACGAGAAAAGAGCGAAGCATTGTAGGAAAGGTTAATTTATTTTATTATATTGAAGGTAGACCTACTTTCCTAAAATAAAGAAGCTACATATTTGAAACTATGTGATTTTTCTAACTTGTTAAACAATAGTAAACTCGCGTCATTTCTTTTAGAACTGTCCAGTTGTACAGTGAAAATGCATGTTTTTCTGGGCCTCCAAATCGTCTAACTTGCTCTTGAGATATGTGAACTTACCGCTCCACAAATGTGTGGTTTTCAAATCTAGCAATTTTATTTGAAGCGAACCAGCATTCCAAATCTCTTTTAATTTTGTGTTGAGAGAATCTACTTTGACTGTGAAGGTCAGAGTACTTGCATTTCTTTTGAATTGCTCAAATATCTCAGTGAACCCATCCTTCATTTTGTTTATAGTAATGCTGAAGTGATTCATGTTAATAGTAGTGTTGGGTTTATCATATTTTTTTTCCAGATTTTTTAAAATAAAGTAATTTACCTCTCTCCGGGTCTTCAACAAAATGAAGTATTTTTTTTTTCTCGAAACAATCATGTTCTTCAAGCAAGGCATAGGCTGGGTTTTCCTTTCCGTGCAGTTTTTTTATTTAGCTCTTTAAGTTTCTTTTGTGATCTCCCCCACGAAGTTGAATGTTGCAATTAGCAATAGACAAGTTAATAGGAAGTAAATTGAAATATGGCGTAACTAAATATTCTAATAGGATAGCGAGTGTTTATTGTTTGTTTATTATTTTATCGTTCATTACCGAGTATTGCGGAACAATATTTGTATGTGTTTTAAAAATAAAATAAAATAATTGTTAATATGTGTGCTTGGAGCTGAAGAGCCGCATCACGACATCAAAAGAGCCGCATGCGGCTCGCGAGCCGCAGGTTGCCGACCCCTGGCCTACGGTGTTCATTCATCGTAAGCCATCAATTATCTTTGAAAAGAAAATTGAATGTTAAAATCGCGCATGCGCACTAAGATCTTTTTACCTATATGCACTGGAACAGATTCTAGGTGAAACAACAGTACAAAAAATTGTAGAAGGATTTTCTCGGCGTTAGATTGGTAAAACAGGACAAGATTATCAACTGTAAATAGTAGATCTGTTTCAATGGTCAGATGTTGTGGGACCATCTGTTTCAATGGTCAGATGTTGAGGTGACCATCTGTTTCAATGGTCGGATGTTGAGTTGACCATCTGTTTCAATGGTCAGAGGTCATGTCCAGTTGACCATTTGTTTCTATAGTAGCGTAAAATTGTTTAAATATTACAACAGTTCTTAAGAACTTCTAATCTAATGACGATAAAAGATTAGCTCATTCATATTCACCAAATGAATGAAGACTTCTATAATATTTCCAACATAATAACTGAAGATTCCCCCCACCCCTGCTATTATCTATAGCCATCCACCCCCATCATCGTGTCCGTTGTCCTCTTCAACTTCTGTCGTAGGTCTGTCTCCACATCATCTGAGTCTATGTCTGTCTTTTGGTTGTTTCCTATTTGGGCGTGTGTTTGAACACCACTTTCACCCCTCCGTGATTTAACATTCTCCTCCTATTACCTAGATGTACAATACACTCTAGTCCCAACTGACCCGAGTCTCGCGTATTTTAACCATCTGATGTTTTGTTTCCTCACCAGAGGGCGCCCCGATGTCCTACAAAGAGGACCTGGTCGCCGAGATTCACCTGATGAAGAGGATCGGCAACCACCCCAACATCGTCTGTCTCATAGGCGCCTGCACCATGTCGGAACCGATCGCTTTGGTGATGGAATACGTCCCGTATGGGAATCTACAAAACTTTCTCAAGTAAGTATCTGCATGTTGAATACAGAAAGTTACAAAATATCATTAACTAATTACCTTCGTTTTAGTAACACCCAAAGTTTTCTCATATACATTTAAAAACCCTAATGATATAGGAACGTATCAAGAGTTATCTTAGCATTCAATATTGTCCCAAATAAATTTCCGTTAAGCACAATATCTCGATAATTGTATACAACAAGAATAGCCGGCCATGACAGAGCTCTCAATTACCTGCCTAGCTATGTTAAAAAAACACATTCCGTGTAAACATTCATTTGTGGTTATGTGCGGGCGGGGGATATTGCCTTGTTTTTTTTTTTTTTGTCCAAAATGTTTAGAACGTATACATTATTCCGGTTGAAATCGGCACTTACGTTAATTGTTGCTCCCCGGGCTCGCTGACATCCCTGTGCTGGGCCGAGGCTTTGAAATCTGCTCACCTCCCGCCCCATCTCCCCACACACGTCATCAGCGGTCACGCCTCAGCTGGTTTTAATGCCCATGTCAAACGACGAACAACTGTTGGCGGTTAATTTTTGTCATGTCATTAACTCGTGGAGTTCACGCATGCGCTGTTGAGTTCTGTACTGTCGAAATGACGGGCTAGATTTGTAATATTTTTTTTTAAAAATATCCCGGTAAAAGTGATTGCTACTCTCTAAACTAATTTCTTTGTTGACACAATATTGGATTCCTCTAGCTGACGACCAGATAATGTTGGTTGACTATTATGGTACAAATATCCCTTCTTCTATCTTATCAATAATCCTAATCTTGTCTATTTAATCTATTTAAACATCCCAGGCCCTCACTCTAACATTAACGGTCATTTCATCTATAAGAATATTAAAGCAAACACTATTCCTATCCGTAATGCCGAACGTATTGCTCCTAATGCCTCAAGTTTTGTCCAATATATTGCTCTTTCTAATTCCAAAGCTCCACTCCTTATTTTAAACTCCACCCCTACGCCTCCCTACCACAAATACAAGAGAGCCTTCCCCCTCCCCCACCAAGCTCCACTTCAAAGTTAACGTTTGCATTTGGAACTTAATTATTTATACATTTGGCTGCCGTCTGTTTGTCTTTATCTTTCAACATCGCGCCGTCTGTAAACTATCGGTTTAAAAATTTAATCCACACCGTTTGAAACCAAAACTTTCTTTTTCTTTGTAAACGTTTTTTTTTATCGAATAGTAATTTCTTTTTCTAAATATTTGTAATATGTAATGTGTTTTAATAATAAAAGCAAAACAAAACTGGGACTAACTAGCCTACATGTGCGTGTATACTTATCTAGGGGTGGATAATAGTTCTATTCGCCGCTTATAAATTGTAAAAAAAACAACTGTACATTCTCATTAAGCTCCGCCTTTGATGGAAGAAGAAGGGACAATGTGGATGTCCATTTCACCTTCAACAATCTCAAATAACTTATGGACGTCCATTACTTTCCAGAAAATGTCGGTTGGACGGTGACCTAATTAAACGAACTGACGGAACCTGCGAGATCACGTACACGATGATCCAAGATGGCGGCGACCTAGAAAATGGCGTCGTCACCCCAGCGGATATGTTGTCGTTTGCTAGACAAGTCTCGATGGCAATGGTAAGGTTTTTCTTGTTTTGTTTTTCTAGTCCGTCCCCACACACTCGTGACTTCTCCCCCCCCCCCCCCCACTCACTCCTCACAGATCATCCCACACCAACTCCTCACTCTTCGAAGTTACTCCTCCACAAACTCGCTATACTTCCCCACACACCTATAACTCCCCCACACTCACTCTCCCACACAATATCAATACTCACAGATCATCCAATACAAACTACTCACTTTTTTTACAGATACTCGACCACACATTTTCACACTTCCACACAAACTCTCAATACTCCGCCCGCACTCTCTCTTCTCCCCACACACCCTCTCTTCTTCTTCCACACACCCTCTCTCCTTCCCGCACACACCCTCTCTCCTTTCCCCACACCTCCCCCCCCCCTTCACACACACTTTAATTTCTTCTACACACCTTCCCCCCCCCCCCCCCCACACACAGATCCTCCTCAACACTCTCTCGCTCCCCACCTTCACAAAATATATCTTACCAACATCATTGACTAAAGCAGAACTTGATCATTAATTACCGCTAATTAACTTCCACCAACTAAACACTGTCTCCCAATACCCCAGTGTTTGATTGTATCTATGCGTGAGTAACGAAAGCGGTTTCCGCACCATCTACCAGAGCCCAACTATTCATCACCCAATATCTACAACATCTCTGCAAAAAAATAAAAGAAAGTGGGGGAAAAAAGCCTCCATACTGTCGTACTAAAAATAGATTTTAAAACCATAAAGTACAAAACACGTGTTTAATGGCGACTGTTGTGTTTTTAAAGAAATCGGGAACTTAGCACCAAACACACATTGTAAGTCGTAATTTTTTTTTATTAAGGAATTTTTTAACCTTGTCTATATACATGCGCAGATCTTCGTTCTAAAGCGTTTTCGTTTTGTTTTGTTTTTTAAACGAAGCATTAGTCACGATTCGTAGTATTTTTTGTTGTTGTTTTTTAGGATTTCTGTGAACTCGCCCGCCGAAAATGTTGTTTGTCTTTCTCGCAGTTTTCTATTTTCCGACCCCACGCTGTTCTAATGCCAAGTCAACGACACGCGCGAAAATCGCGATCAAAAAATGTATTTTTAGCCTCTTCCCAGCGCAACCTGCCAGATTTTTCCCCTATATTCATGTTACAGCCTAATGCCAGGTAGCACTCGTGTCTCGCAAGATACCCACCTCTTTCACCAGAAACATTTTTGACATGATATTGTGTTTCCGTTTCAGCCTTATAATACTACCATGCTTGATACTGATAGCAGTAAAAAAAAAATCTTTACACTGTGTGTTTTCTTATTTCGCGCACAATTTAAAAAAAATTTACGACTGTTGTTTTATTTGGTCGAGTAAAAGATGCCCACATCTTTTAATCCGATTCTCTTGTTTGACCAATCACTGCTGTGATATCAGTGACGTAGGGAATTGTGTTAATGCGTCATCAACGATGTTCGCTCCACCGTCCATACCAAATGTTTTTATAGTTTCATAAAGTTAGCATCTTAGCATACAGTTTGATCTAGAGGAGTTAACTTTATCGAGTCAGAAGCATCTTAGTATAGTAGCATTTACATAAATTTCAATCTTCTAGATCATACTTTATCGAGAGTCCGAAGCCTCTAAGCAGAGCAGCATTTACATAAAGTCTGATCTAGAGGAGTTAACTTTATTGAGTCAGAAGCATCATCTATAACATTTATATAGAGTCTGATCTAGAAGAATAAAAACAATTCCCAGAAAGAGCGGCTTGCGCAAGTTTATTTTGTGAAGGCCGCTCCCCATCCGCACGAGTCTAGCGGAGTGATTCACCAGAACTATTTTTTCTCCCAGCTGTTTCAAAAGTTGCTCTCTGAGTCGATGTACTAATACAGCGAGAAGCGGGTTAAAGGTCATGTGATAATCACATCAATGGATGATTTCTGAGTAGGACCTAGCCCTCATAACACGATATCATTTTTTTCTGATTCTATTACCCCAAAATTCTTACAACCAAATGTTTCCAAGCATGCAAGTACCATCTTAATGCAAGTCTAAAACTGGCAAATGAAAACTTCTGAGATTTTTGACTCGAAATATTTATATAGCTCACCCAAAGTGTGGTATTTCAGTGACCTAAAAGTCGTTACCAACTGTCAGAACAACCTTCAAAAACTTGGTGCTACTGACCATCTTAGCAGCGTCGCCTGACCCCCCGGGGGCGACATTGTACTCACCATTGTTGAACATGTAAACAGACGGACTGTTGAGCACATCCGGCCAAAGGTCAAACTAAGACAAAAACATACGCTGACTGCTACACTCCCACCATTATGTGACGTCATCCCAGCTAACGAGGGGCCCTCGGCAAATGGTGCTATTAATAGGAGGGTTTCTATGTTCTACATTCAGTTTTTGGCTACTTATTTTGGAAGCTCCCGAGGCAAAGAATGGTGGAGTGGGCGGTGTTTAATGTCTGGTTCATTCTACAAAAGGTTGTTCTTTTAAAATTGGAATTTTTTTTTTTTTAAATGAGATTAGCAACTCAATTTCAGATATTCTTAATTATTTGTATTTATTGCAATTTCGAAGGTAGAAATTTTATAAAGTTTATGCATTTCATGAGTTGAAACGAAATTTTAAAATTGATTTTGTGCTTAAAACGTTGTTGTTGTTTTTTATTTTTATTTTTGCTGACTACCACTCAGTTTTTGAAAAACATACGAACGCTGGAATTTTTCCGATCATGGCTTAAGAATCAATTTATAACATTTCTAACAATCCTTTCAATAATTTTTGTTGGTAAAAATCTCCGTTCATCAAATAGTAAAAAAAAATCTCCGTTCATCAAATAGTAAAAAAAATCTCCGTTCATCAAATAGTAAAAAAATCTCTGTTCATCAAATAGTAAAAAAATCTCTGTTCATCAAATAGTAAAAAAAAAACTCCGTTCATCAAATAGTAAAAAAATCTCTGTTCATCAAATAGTAAAAAAATCTCCGTTCATCAAATAGTAAAAAGTCAAAATAACACGTCTGAGGTTACCAAACTCCCGGGCTCCATCTTGCAAACGACCTGACGACCGCCTCGCCTGCAGCCTCCCCCAACACCGGCCGGGCCCATGCCCGCTTGAGTTAGCCTTTAGGCGGTGAGGATCTGATCGAGTCGTGTCCCTTTCTTCTCCGTGTCTCTAACACCACGAAAGGGAGCCAACTTCAAAGTTGCTGCTGAAAATCGCGGTTATTGTTCTTGGCGCTCGTCCCTTCGCCTCGCCATGAGCAGCTCACTCTTCGCGCCATTTAAGTCATCTGCTGAGCTGTTCGCTTACGATAAGAAAAAAAAATATATTTGAGAATGACTTTGTAAAAAGTAATGTTTAAAACATTGAACATATTCAAATATATCTAGACCCCTCTGATGTGCATTGTGTAAATATGCACCTAACATAACTATAAAATCTAAAACACAATATATTTATGTATATGCTTATATATATGTATATATATATATATATATATATATATATATATATATATATATATATATATATATATATATATATATATATATATATATATATATATATATATATATTAGTTCACAGGTCTACGTTTATTTCTGTACATTGCCAAGGCTATCTCTGGATCCGACCGGTAAATTTAAAACACCCCATCCGATTATTTAGTTTGTACCTAACCCCGCGAGAAAGGGGCAAATTACTGCTGTCTTGTTTATTTTGCTTACCGCCCTTACCGCCGTGTTTAGACAAACGCCCCGAGATTTTAAACCAAAAGAAATAAATTCAAACCCTCAATTTGCTGGCAGGGCCAGGATTAATGACAAAAAAACAACATCAGTAGCATCTTTTGTTATAATGGAAATATTTTAGCCAAGACAATAAAGTGTATTTAAAAGTTTTATTTCCTTGTTTTGAATTAAACCTTAAGAATCAGATATTTTACGGGTAACTAAAGAATTCTTAACTCCCTTTAATCAGGAACGACAATCCGAAACAATAACACGATGAAGTTTGATTTCCATGTAAATATTGTTTGACACTTGTGAGTTGACCAAGTGACCAGTTACAACATCACCACGGCTGTAGCGGAGAAAATAATAGTGAATGTTGCTACCATATACAATATATATATATATATATATATATATATATATATATATATATATATATATCCATATACAATATATATATATATATATATATATATATATATATATATATATATATATATATATATATATATCCATATACAATATATATATATATATATATGTGTGTATAAATCTAGTATTAGTAGTATGTTCTATCGTACTATATTATAAAGAATCCAAAAGCGAATAAAACATGTTTTCACCGAGTAAAAAAGCCACCACACTAATCTAAAAAAAAATTAATATGGGAAAACATAGACTAGACGTAGATAAAAACATCGCTAGATCTGCGTGGAACATTTTAAAAACTCTCTAAACCTGTGTATAACATTGTTAAAAATCTCTAAACCTGTGTAGAACATTTTGTAAAACCATGTTCTCCAGCATGTACATAAGTTTTGACTTTAAAAAAAAAAAAATATTCGTTGCGAAAAGAGCATGTTTATTCAAGGTCATCATGACCTTGATGCAAACCATGTTCCTGGTCTAGATCACACCTGCAAGCCCGGGGTTCTGGTGTCCAGAACATTCGAAAGGTGTGTTGGTTATGTCCAGAGAACCCAATAGCTGACTGCCAGCAATAGATGGTTGTGACTGTTTTATACCCGGACACTAAGATGTACAGCCCAATAAGTGTGGGATGCGCTATTGTAGTTGTATTTCAAAATAAAACTAAAGTATACAAGTATATTAGCTGGATTTTAAAATGAAACTAAAGTATACAAGTATATTAGCTGGATTTTAAAATGAAACTAAAGTATTCAAGTAAATGAGCTGGATTTTAAAATGAAATATTCAAGTTTATTAGCTGTATTTCAAAATGAAACTTCAGTATTAAAATGTTAGCTGT